CCGCGTCCGAGAAGGAGCCCGAGATGCCGGGCCCCAGGGACGAGAGTGAGGAGGAAGAGGACGACGACGAGGATGAGGACGAGGAGGAAGAGAAAGGTGGGCAGGGACGCGCGTCCCTCACGGCTGGGTTTGTCACATCAAAAGTGTCCCCTCCCCACCCCCTCCCCTGGGAAGCAGTGATCTTGCTTTTTCGCGCTTGGAGGCATCGAGTCGGAGTGGTCGATTTCACGCGAATGATGTCGTGTGCATTTGCTAACAATTAGTGACAGAGAATCTGTGGAATTTTGTTTTGTTTTGTTTTGTTTATATGAGTATTTGCCAGGGTTTCGATGGCGAGTGTAGCCGAGTTTTCCCGGTGTGCCTTCAGAACACTTCGTCACCCCACAGGAAGTTTGTAAGTCTGAGATCTGCCTTTTACACCAGTGCTCTGTTGCTACGCGAGTGTTTTAATTGTGCTAGTTCCATTCTGCAGCGTTTGCCTTTTGAAGTTACTCCAAGGTCCCTTAATGTAACCTAACACTACAGGTATTCTTGCTAATCCTGGAAATGTTTTCACATCTTCAACTCTATGTATCTGCTGGCTTTTGAGTAAGGGTTCTTGTGGAAGCGTTTTGCTTTGCCTAGAAATCACCTGTGAAAGCTGCTGCTGCTGGAGAAAGTAGTTTAAAAAATGAGAAAACTGAACTGAAAGTTAAAATTGAACCCACAGCTATCTCGGTTTTGGAACTAATTCTGTTCAAAGGAAGGTGGTATTAACCACCATTATTTGACTAGAGGTTGTGCTGCGAATTTAGAGCACAGTTTAGAGACGTGCGGGAGTATTTGTCGGTTATCCAGGATGCTTGTTGCTGACCCTCTACAGGTACATCAGTTTTCTGAGACATTTTCAGCTATTGGAAAATCCAAGGCACAGCTCTTCACATCTTGCTGCACTAGTCCAGTCCAGCTTGTCTGTGCAAATGGCCACAGCTCAGCCAAACTTGGGAGCAGGCCTCAAGGTTAAAATGCTCTCGAACTGTCATTTCTTTGTATAAATGTAATACGGACAAGATACAATTTATTTGAAGTGGTGTGTGCCCTAAGACCTTATGGGAGTGTGTCATTTAAGTGAGCACTGGCCTTTAAATCACTTTTTGGTTATTTATAATATAATTGAAAGTTGGCTGCATTATCAGTATTTTTTTAATTGTTTTTTTAAAGATTTTATTTATTTATTTATTATGTGTACACCAGAAGAGGGCACCAGGTCTCATAACAGATGGTTGTAAGACACCATGTGGTTGCTGGGAATTGAACTCAGGACCTCTGGAAAGAGCAATCAGTGCTCTTAACCTCTGAGCCATCTCTCCAGCCCCCAGTATCAGTATTGTTAAGACTTTCTTAACACTTGTACCTCTGATATTTTACTTTTGTCTTTCTGTGGGGCAAAGCTGAGATACTAGAGGGTGTGAGTTTCCTTGGGCAGAAAAAAATTGAGAAGTTATGTAAATATACCATAAAAGGCCCAAACAGTAATGTTTTGGAGGCTAACAATGATTCATAGCATCCTGGATTTTGTTTTTTAAAACTGATTTTGTAGGTTCCTTAACAGTTTCAGAACTGATTCATCATTAGTCATTTTTCTCTTTTGAGGTGCTTGGGACGCTGGACTTGTTTTTAATTCTATTTAGCCAGAATATTTACCTACAGTATAATGTTAGAGAGGTGCATTACAGTGAAATTACTGAAGTCTATAGCAGGACTTGGAAATGATTTGGGGAAGATGAGAAACTGAACTGTAATTCTCAGCTTTATTCTATAGGGTTGGGTGATGCTGTTATTCTCTAGAAAACAAATATAGAAGTGGACAAGCTTGGATATGATTATGAGGTCTTCTGGATGTGTTGTTTGGGTTTCTGTAGGACTTGGAGGAGCTGTCCAGGTTACAGCTAGGCATGCATTAATATGAAAGCTCTGTGCCAGGGTTGGACTAAGAACTTACAGTATGTAGATCCTGATCCAGAGCCAGTGAATTACTGAAGTTACAAAGGAAGAGGAAATTGAGTGATAATAGGAGCTGTTGTATAACATACTTAGTGTTGTCTTTCTCCATTCATTGTTTGCAACTCCTTAAATCCCCAAATCTCTAAAGCCTACACTGTTTTGATCCATTTTCCTCCCTGGCCCCAACATAATCCCTCTTCAACTCACAAAACTTTTTTTTTTTTTTTTTTTTTGGTTTTTCGGCACAGGGTTTCTCTGTGGCTTTGGAGGCTGTCCTGGAACTAGCTCTTGTAGACCAGGCCGGTCTCGAACTCACAGAGATCCACCTGCCTCTGCCTCCCGAGTGCTGTGATTCTTAAAGGCATGCACCACCGACGCCCAGCTCACAAAACTTTTTTTAAGGTTTATTTTTGTTTCTGTATATGAGTGTTTTGCTTGCATGTATGTATGTGTGTACAACAAGTACATGGCCTGGTTTCCTCAGGCCAGAAGGTCCTGATCATCCATCCCCTGGGCTGGGAGTGGAGTAGGAGATAGTTGTAAGCTGCCATGTGGTGCTGAGTATCAAACACTGGTCCTGAAAGAGCAGTGAGTGCTGCTAACCACTAAGCTCTGTCTCCAGTCCCTCACAAAGTATTTTGTAGCTTTTATTTGTGGTAGGGGTGGTGCATGTGGAGGTCAAAAAACTTAAGGGAATCAGTTATCTCCCACCATATTCATTCTGGGGCTTAGGCCTTGGGTCACCAGACTTGGCAGCAAGCACCTTTACATGCCCAGCAATCTGGACAGCCAGGCTCACAAATTTTATATTTATCTTTTTCCCTTCCCAGAGTTGAGTAATGTATCCAGGGACTTGAGCATTTTAGACATTCTATCATTGAAACCTTGAAAGACCCCCCAGAGGCTCAGATCCCCAGGGTCTTAGCCCAGAACTGCAGCAACTCCAATCACCAGGTGGAGTCAAAAAGCTTGATGCAAACAGCACGAGGCTTTATTGCAGTTTTTTTTTTTTTTTTCCTCCTCCCGAGACAGGGTTTCTCTGTGTAGCTTTGCTGGACCTCTCTCTGTAGACCAGGCTGGCCTTGAACTCATAGAGGTCCTCCTGCCTCTGCCTCCCGAGTGCTGGGATTAAAGGCATGTGCTACCAATGCTCGGCTTATTGCAGTTGTTTAACGAGCATTACCTCGGGTCTTTCACCCATCCACGGCATAGAGATCTTATAGGGCAGCATAAGGGGAGTGTCTAGGGGTACATACAGGCTCAGGATTGATGTGCCTCTAGGCTTGGAGGATTTGCCCTGTGTTGATTGGTCAGCTGTTTGTTATGGCCCATAGGCCCTCCCAGGGCGGTTGCTATGCTCTGCATGTCATTGCTGTGCACTTCTCTGTAAGCACACCCAGAGCCATAAAGCATAGCACCACTAGCTAACTTCTGATTGGTTCCTTGCCACGAGGCAGGCATCTGACCTCCTAGTGACCAAGGCAAGGTCAGGCAAGCACATGTTACTGTCATGGCTGCTGAAATGGGGAGCTGGTCCCTTCACCCTTATCCCTTACTTGTATTTTTCTTTTACATTAAGTATAGTTTTCATTTTGCTAGTAGAAATTTCAAAAAATGTGTAATATCATTTTGAGTGTCAGGTACAATTTTGGATCTAATTCATTTGAATGAATGAGAGGACCTAAAACAAAATATAGCTTGACTAGACTTCAATCAATAAGTAAGTAGTTTTTGATAAATAGAACAATGTTTTAAGCTTTATATATTAATGGTATTTCCTGGGTATTTCTTAGAAGTCTGGACTAGCTGGGCAGTGGTGATGCATGTCTTTAGTCCCAGCACTCAGGAGGCAGAGGCAGGTGGATCTCTGCGAGTTCGAGACCATCCTGGTCTACAAGAGCTAGTTCCAGGACAGCCTCCAAAGCCACAGAGAGACCCTGTCTCTAAAAAAAAGTCTGCATTAAACAGTATTAAACTTTGTCAGATCGACTTATGGCTATCCTGAACATAATTATCAAACTACAAAGTAATGTCCAGCCAGCTATCTTACAACAGGTACAAAGTACAGTCAGATAAGAGAAATAAGCTCTAGTGTTTATAGCACAGTAGAATAACTGCTTAGTTTAAAATAATTTATTACATATTTGTGTGAAAAACTAAAGGAGTTCAGAGGCACACAAACAGAATGATGAGATTGAAATAGTAATCATCTTGACTAGTATGTGTTAAACACATGTAAATATACTTCTCTTAGGATCAAAAAGAAGTAAGTTTAGTGAGAAGCTAAGTGTTTTTTTTTCACAAGTCAGATACTAGATTTTAGTAGTGATAAATGTAATTGGATAAGAGTTTTTGTTATTTTAGACTGGGTGCTTGACAAATTAAGTAACTGTTACTCTTAAAAAATAAAAGCTTCCAGTGTTTCATGTCATTTGCTTCTTAAACATGCTCAGGAGGAAAGTGTGGTTTTGGGTTTGCAAGATCTTTTTCCCTACCTGTTTATAAAGTGGACATATTGCTTTAGCTTTTGTTATTTAAGAATTTAAAAACTATTCAATTAATTCCTAGAAAAGAGTCTCATTGTGGAAGGCAAGAGAGAAAAGAAGAAAGTAGAAAGATTGACAATGCAAGTGTCTTCCTTACAAAGAGAGCCATTTACAATTGCACAAGGTAAGGCTAGACTATATTTCTTTTACAGTGAAAACGCTCAATTAGGCAAAAAAGTGTTTAGCAATCCTTGATAGTAGCAGCATACTTAAGAGTTTAGGAAGTAGTGATTTGTTTTGACATAATTTTCATTTTCTCTATTAGCACAAAATTACACAAACTATGCTGTGGGAATAATTTTTAAAACTAAATACTAATAAAGCCTGGGTATTTAATTATGTTTTTTTTTTTCCAGGGAAGGGCCAGAAACTTTGTGAAATTGAAAGGATACATTTCTTTCTGAGTAAGAAAAAAACAGATGAACTTAGAAATCTACACAAACTGCTTTACAACAGACCAGGCACAGTAAGACGTTTGAAAACATCTTTACTATGTTTTTTGATACTTAGTATATATCTTAATATACTAAAGTATAGAGCCGTACTTTTAATCCTGTAACACTTTAATGATCAACTAGTTCAGTTTCTGTATGATACCAATGAGTAAATTCAGACACTTACTTGTTAAATGACATCTTGTAGTACAGGTAGCTGGTTATTAGCAAGACCTAGGGCTTTTCCTTCCTTTTATCTCCCAACTAGGCATAGAGGAGTAGTTCAGAGATAGATTGCTTATCTGCCATGCCCAAGGCCCTAAGGTGGATCTCCAACAGCACTACCCCCAAAACAAAACAAAAAGGAAATGACATTTGTTGTGATTTTAGTGATTTTTTTTTTTTTTAAAACTGTATTATAACAAATTTGTTTTTCAATGTTGTGGCCATTCATGACAAATATTTCCTTGTAATTGTAATACCTGGAAAAGTGGTTGACAATTGTTTGTCGTATGATTTGTAATTATATTATATGAAACTACTTGAAAAGGGGTTGTTTTATTTGCATGGATGTTTTGCCTACATGTCTGTCTGTCTTCTGTATGTTAACATGTTGCTTGAAGTATTTGGATCCCCTGGACTGTAGTTGCAGATGGTTGTGAGCCAGCCACCACATAGGTGCTGGGGTAGAACCTGGATCCTCGGAAGAACAGCCAGCCAGTGGTCTTACTGCTGAGCCATCATTCCAGCCCAAGTAACTGTATTTGAAATATGAAACTTTGCTTTGGGTTGTGTAAAACAAGTTAGATGTTATTAAGGCTGTCTGAAGCATGGTTTAGTTTATTTTCACATGTCCTAACCTCAGTTTGCACAACAATCTAATTTACACACATAAATTAGGGAATGGCATTAACTATTTGGAATACTTAAAAATTATTTGCTTTTTAAAAAATAAGTCATTCACTTTTACACCTACCTAAGGAACAATTATGGTAACTTGGTAGGTGGAAATACATTTAGATTCAAACTTTCCAAAGAACCAACTAAAGTTTGCAGAATTTTTAAAATGTTAATGGCAAATACTTTTCAGTTTAGTTTAATAAATCATTATTTTAACTTGGAAGATGGATTTGAAAATAAAGGCTCTATCTTCAAATTTTTTTATTTGTATATTATTGGATAGTAGCATTAACAATAACAAAAACATTTTCAGGTGTCCTCATTAAAGAAGAATGTGGGTCAGTTCAGTGGCTTTCCATTTGAAAAAGGCAGTACCCAGTACAAAAAGAAGGAAGAAATGCTGAAAAAGTAAGTTATGTTTGTCAATATTGTGATAGGTTGATAATGCTATAAACTTACCGTTAATATTTAAAAATAACTACCTGTTCATTTTTAGTACATTGCTAACTTTAATTTAGGTGCCAGGATTTGACAAGCCTTTCATAGCATCATTTTGGGTTATCTTTTATGTTCTAGTAAATAGTGACAGTTAAAATTATTGAAAACTCTTAAAATTTCATTTTCCAGAAGATATAAATAATCTTTCAGAGTTCATACAGTGTGAAGGAAATGTATTCCTGTTGCCTGCTGTTAGTTACTCTTTCTTCTTAATGTTTTAAATTTGCTTTGAAAATAATTTCTTTGAAAAATTGTCATTTTACATAATGAAAGCAAAGTGACAAACTTTTAGAACTTTTATTTATTAGATGCCTATAGATGAAGAATTTAAATAAAAATGATTAGGTCTTCATTGAGACATTGTAATGCTGAATCATTAACCTAAACAATTTTCAAGTCCATGAGTTTTGTAGTATTAGAAAGTTACATAATTTTCCAGTGACTTTACTTAAACTGTTGGTAAATACACATTTTCTCATGGTTGTACACTAGTCAGGTGATTAAGAGTAAACTACAGGGAAATACTTGTAACTGTTAAGGAGACAAAGCAGACCAATTTTGCTGGCTGTTGACTTTCTGTCATGAAGAATATTTACGAATCTTGTGTAGTTACCCTTTTTCCCCCTGCTTTCTGTTTCAGGTTTAGAAATGCCATGCTAAAGAGCATCTGTGAGGTTCTTGATTTAGAGAGATCAGGTGTGAACAGTGAACTAGTGAAGAGGATCTTGAATTTCTTAATGCATCCAAAGCCTTCTGGCAAAGTAAGGATCTGTTTTTTACTATTTCAGTAAGTTGGTTATTAACAGCCTTTCCTTTCTTTCTCTTACTGAAATGGTAATCTAACAAGATAATTGTTTTGTGAGTCAGTGATGTCATCTGCATTTTAAATATGCCTTTCATTGACAACTGCAATATTTTCATAATATAAATTAAATAGTATATTGTTCTTCAAATGTGAGTTGTACAAGATTAAGAAAAGTAATTGGGTGGTGGTTGCCCATGCCTTTAATTCCAGTACTTAGGAGGCAGAAGCAGGCGGATCTCAGAGTTCCAGGATAGCGAGGGCTATTATACAGAGAACCTTGTCTCAAAGAAGAAGAAGAAGAAGAAGAAAAGTAGCTGGTGGTGATACACATCTTTGATCTCACTTTAATTCTAGCACTCTGAGGGCCGAGACAGGCAGGTCTCTGAGTTCAGGCCAGCCTGGCCTACAGAGCGAGTTCCAGGACAGTCAAGGCTACCCAGAGAAACCCGTTCTCAAAAAAAAAAAAAAAAAAAAAAACAAGAGCACCTAAATGTCACATAAGATAAACCAGGGCTCCAGGCTTTTCTGTCTGGAAGGCACTGGAATAAGGGAAATAGGTTGAGGAAATAGTTATGTAGGACTGTTACATAGTTTTTAAATATTTGGAATTTAGCAAACTTCTTTTTTTTTTTTTTAAGACTTTATTTATTATGTATACAAATTCTGCTTCCATGTATATCTGCACACCAGAAGAGGGCACCAGATCTCATAATAGATGGTTGTGAGCCACCATGTGGTTGCTGGGAATTGAACTCAGGACCTCTGGAAGAGCAGTCAGTGCTCTTAACTTCTGAGCCATCTCTCCAGCCCTGCAGATACTCTTAAGAAAGCATTTAAAAATAAATTCATTGGTTGATCAAATCTTTTTCCTCGTGTGATAAGAAATGCAGTTTAACTGAAAGCATAGAGCAAGATACCTATTTCTTGCCTCATTTCATAATTAACATCTATTGCATACTGAAGGTTGTTGTCACTGAGAACTTGGCATTACTGAAAGAGGTGGTACAGTTCTTTTTTTAAATTTAGGGTATATAATTGCTGGTTAAGCTTTATTTTCTCTTCGTAGTTCCTTCCACTCCTTTGATTAAAGCAAGAATCTCCTAGTTATGGAATCTTTAGTGCTTATAAAAATGGAATATATTAAGTCTAATTTCAAATATTGTCTTGATCAAATGTAAACACTACCTGAACTCATTACAATTCATACTTGTAGTCTTGTCTTCAGAACCAACAGTACCTTTTGCAATGATCTTGCCAGGGGTTTACAAGACAGTTAAGAATACTGCTAATGCAGTTTTAGGTAGCCTGACAGATTTAAAGATGACTTCTCTGCTGAGCCTGTAATTACTTTCTGACAGAATTTGAGTTGATAAGTAATTATCAAATGGAGTTGATTAACTTAGAAATACCCTTATTGATGGTACTGTTAATACATTTTTTGGTTTGTTTTTTTTTTTTTTTTTATACATACAGCCATTGCCAAAATCCAAAAAATCTTCAAGCAAAGGTAGTAAAAAGGAACGGAACAGTTCTGGAACAACAAGGAAGTCAAAGCAAACCAAATGTCCTGAAATTTTGTCAGATGAATCTAGTAGTGATGAAGATGAGAAGAAAAATAAGGAAGAGTCTTCAGAAGATGAAGAGAAAGAAAGTGAAGAGGAGGTAAAACATATTTTTAACTATTATTTTCTATCAGATAAATATTCTTTCTATATAAATAAGCAAATAGTTGGCTGTTGGTTCATTTTATTTTATTTTGAGACAGGGTTTTACTTTGTAGCCCTGGCTATCCTGGAACTCACTGTGCAGACCAGGTTAGCCTCAAACTCACAGAGATCCACCCGTTTATGCCTTCCTAGTGCTGTGATCAAAGGCATGCCCCACCAGCAATGTCAGTTCAATTTCATTGTGAAGCTACATAAATGATTGAGCAGGCTTATATCCCACCAAACATTAAAGTTTAAAAATAGTTGAGTTTGTGACCTAGATTTGAAGTGCACCTTGAGCTGGCTTTCCTCATCTAGAGGAGGGAAATGGGAAAGGAAGCAGCAAAATTGTACACTTTTCTGAACAGAAACACTGAGGAGCATAGTCTTTCTTTTCTTAGTATTTTATGTATGGGTCTTTTGTCTCCAAGTATGTCTTTGCACTGCATGCATTCCTAGTACCCACGGCAGCCAGAAGGGCACATCAGAATTGCCTGAAACTGGAGTTATATATGACTGTATGCTGCCACCTTATGGGTGCTAGGAATTAAATTTGGATCCTTTGTTAAAGCACCCAGTGCTCTTAACCACTGAGCCATCTCTCCAGCCCATGGGAGCACATTCTTGAGGTTTTTTCATAGTATATTAATATTTTATAATTGACCTGAACTGAATTAATTTGATGCAAAAAGTAAAGTGTTAAAGGTTGTCATTTCCTTCAACCCTTTGGGAAGTATATAATGAGTATAAGAGTATTTGAAGTTTATGCCACTTAGGAATGGAACATTTTCTGTTTGCAATTATTTGTAAAATGATTCCAAAGTGAATGCTAGAGAGGAGGAAAACTTGCTAAGACAGTTGTTGCTGTATCCTCAGTCAAGGTCAGGGAAAGTAGTTACAGGGGTGAGTTCCTGTTCCTAATGTTGTATGCTATGTTTTATTTTTTAGTTTTCTTTAGGGGTTAGACCTTATTCTATAAATATGTATAGAAGTTATAGGTTTGATTAATCCTGTATTTACATTATAGTCTAGATAATTTCTTGTGGGAAGCACTGCACAGATGTAATAGTCAGAAATGTCTCTAAACACTAACAGTTGTTTCTTATGTGGTCAGGAAGGGTGTTTTTTATCTACTGAACACCACAAAATTAGAAGACAAAGGTAAATTATGGGGCTGGAATGTAGCTGAGTTGTTTAAGAGCTTGGAAAAGAACAAGAGTTCCTGGTATCCAGGTTGAACTGCCTGTCTTTCCAGCTCTAGAGATTACAATGCCCTCTTCTGGTTTCTGCAGGAACCTACACTCATCTATACATTCTCACACAGGAACACATGCATACCTATAATTAAGAATAAAATAAATCTTTTTTAAAGATATGTAGTAAACTTGTTTTATGCACACATATGACCTGAGAGTTAAAATTCATGCTTGTTTTAATGTCTGTTGCCCACAGAAGCCAGAAGGCACTAGATCCCCTTGAATTAGAGTTATACAGGGTTGTGAGCTGCCATATGGGTGTGGGAATTAAATCTAGATACCTTGGAAGAACAGCTCAGCCATCTCACCAGCTCCTAATGTCAGGTTGTTAAAGGTGCCTATGAAACTAAGTTTGAACTACTTTTATAATGTGAGGATGTTTTTTACAAATCTTTCAGGTGCTTGATACATTAAAACAATTTTTTTTTTTAGTTATGTGCATGTGTGTATGTGTATAATACAGTGCCTTCTGAGTTCAAAAGAGGGCTTCAGATTCCCTTAAGGTAGAGTTACGTGACTATAAGCCATCTGGCATGGGTGCTGGGAACTAAACATAGCTCTTAACCACTATGCCATCCCTTCAACCTCTACTTCAGAAAATTTTAAGAGTATTTTGGTGTGGAGGGAAGATGAATAATCTGAACACTCAGATTTTTATGATTTGATACCTGAGAGGGAAACATTTGTTTATATGTACATATATACCCAATGTAAATCAGAGTTTTCTCCTGTCACATAAACTAGAAAACCCAAGTCAAATGGTGGAAACCCATGGAGGGAAAGAAGGAAATAACTGTAGACATTAAGTACATCAAATCACACCATACAAAAATGTAGGGGGACTTTTTTTTTCTGCATGGATTTGTCCTGACAGGCTTTATAAGATACAATTTCAATAAAGTCTATAGACACTTTCTTTCTTTCTTTTTTTGTTTTTTAAAGTAAATTTCCCTCCAGTAAGACTAATTTTTATTTTTTAAAGATTTATTGATAATGTCTAAAGTGTTCTGCCTGCATGTATGTCTGCAGGCCAGAGGAGGGCACCAGATCTTATTACAGATGGTTGTGAGCCAGCATGTGGTTGCTGGGAATTGAACTCAGGACCTTTGGAAGAGCAGGCAGCTCTTAACTGCTGAGCCATCTCTCCAGGCCCAGTAAGACTAATTTTATATTGCCCTAAAAGCCCTTAAATTTAGAACTACCGCACTACTTTATGGCTGTTTTAGTTTCTGAGAAAGTTTTAACTGACTTAGAAAGGTAAGCTCTGAGCCAGGAGGTGGCAGTTTAAGCCTTTAATTCCAGCACTTAGGAGGCAGAGGCAGGCAGATCTCTGTGTGTGAGTTCAGGCCAGGTTGGTCGACAGAGTGAGTTCCAGGATAGCCAAGGCCACACCCTGTCTCGAAACACACACACACACACATGAACCGTAAGCTCTGATAAAATGAATAGTATTTTGTAACATCTTGTTGATTAGGGGATGTCCCTATGTATATATGTTTCTCTTATTGGTTGATGAATAAAGCACTGATTAGCTAGTAGCCATGCAGGAGGTATAGGTGGGGCTACCAGATGAGAATTCTGGGTAGAGGAGTTAGAGAGAATAGCTGCCGAGAAAGCAAGAGGCTCCAGCTTTCTCAGGTAAGCCAAAACCACATGGAGATATACAGATTAATAGATATGAGCTAATAATTAAGAGAGACCTGGTCAGAAAGAAGCCTGAGCCTTTGGCCAAGCTGTTTATAATATAAGCCTCTGTGCTTATTTGGGGACTAATGGCTGTGGGACTAGGCAGGCCAGAAACTGTCTACATTTTTTTCTCCCTTTAATTTTTAATAAACATATGCAGTGTGTTATGCTTATTAACACCTCCCGTTACCCTGTGGTGTTCCTTTTTCCTTCTGAATCCTTGCCATCTAGTTTTCCAATGCTTAGATTAGAAAAAAATGATTCTTCCTCCAGCAGTCATTAATAATCATTCTAAGGAAGGGATGGATGGGCTTTGTGGTCACTTCTATCCATGATAGAAAGTTGGAGGGCCAGTCTTGTAAGGTATTCATAGCTGCTGTATGTTTATGATTGCAGTGGTAGTTTCTTGTCTGGATGGCTGTCTCGTGACAATCATCCCATCCTCTAGCTCTTGAATTCGTTCTGTTCTCTTCGTAATATTCTCTGAGCCTTGGGTGGGAGTTGATACAGATGTCCTATTTAAGGGTTGGGTACTTATAACTTCTGTGCTTTGATCAGAAAACTTTTTATGCCCTGGGCTGAGAGCTGCACTAATCTGCGTATAAACACAAATATTTAGAATGCAGTTTGACTACATATTCATGTTGGTAAACATTAGTAATATGTTCCTTCTGTGGGCCCAGGCCCTTCTCAGCCATAGGCTCTTGACCAGGTTTTTATAGTGTCAGGTGTATATTCCTTCCTGTGTTGTGGGCCTCAGATCAGACTGGTCTTGGAAAATAGTTTTGCCATCATTACATTAGTGGGCATATCTTGCATGACAAATTGGTATTGTAGTGCACATGTGCCCTGTAGCAGGGTAATAGCCTTGATGCATTTTCTCCCCAATAGCTTTCATAGCTTCTGAAAGTAAACATTAGCTGGCAGGGAGGGGTGGTGTTTCCAGTTTAGTTCCATCTTGATTTCTCTGTGTCCCAATCACAAGGTAATGGTTTTATGTCTAGATATTGCATCCATGTTACAGACAAGGAAGAACAAGGCAAACAGGCTGCCTTATGGTGTTTGCCTTTTCCCCTTGGAAGGAATATCTTTAACCAAAGGCTATGTCTTTGTGGCACTGACCAGAATATTCCCTTGCTGTTTAGCTGTGAGGAACAATTAAAGAGAGCCAGGTGTTAGTACTTCTGTACTGCAAATGTAATGTGGATTGACTTTTTTGGGGGGAAGCCGTTGTTACATTTCCTGACTTCATAGTAAAAAGAATCAAAAGTGGGGTTGTTCATTTACTTATCTGAGAATTCAAAGAAACCTGCAGTTACAATTTTTGCCAAATTGTCTTTTAGTTGTTGAAAACATTTGATAGTGGTAGGATGTGGACATACATGTTTTGCTATTCCTTAATAATGCTTTTAGAAAGGAAGAAACTTCATAATTTGAACAGAGAAAATTATAAAACTGAATAATTTATTTAAATCTTTTGTTGGAAATCAAAGTTGAAAGGTCACCTTTATAAAAATCCATTTACACTTTATAATTTTTCTAACTAGAATTGCACATTTCTTTTTTCTTGTAATTCTGGGTTTTCTCAACCAAGTGAGAAGAATCCTATATTTTAAGCTAATTTTTTTGTTTTGTTCATCTGTTCACCCAGTACAACCTTTCTGCTGTGAGGACAGAATTCTGGCTCTGTGACAGGCATCTTTTTTGGTGACCCTCCTTCAAGAGCCCTGCTGCCTATAACAGATAGGTAAGCCTTGTTCTCACAACATTTTTGGGTTTTTGGCAAAAAGTACTTGTGCCATTTCTTGGGTCTACATAGAAAATCCTCTTTAAATTTTTGAAAATTTATGTCTTAATACCTTGGGTTGGAGACATGGTTCAGCTGCTAAGAGCATTTGCTGCTTTTTCAGAGGACTCAAGTTCAGATCCCAATAAATATGTCAGGTGACTGACAATACCTGTAACTCTAGCTTCAAGGGATTAGACCAGTACACAGACACATGCACATCGATTA